AGAATACACCTCTATTTCTTTTTGACAGGATCACTTGAGACCATCGTACGATTGAGAATACACCTCTTTTTTTGACAGTATCACTTGAGAATACACCTCTATTTCTATTTGACAGCATCACTTGAGACCACTGTACGATTGAGAATACACCTCTATTTCTTTTTGACAGTATCACTTAAGACCACTGTGCGATTGAGACTACAGCTCTATTCCTATTTGATAGTATCACTTGAGACCACTGTGCGATTGAGACTGCAGCTCTATACAGTATAAATCTCCATGACTTACCTACTCTATTCCTATTTGACAGTAACGCTTGAGACCACTGTACGATTGAGATTACACCTCTATTCCTATTTGACAGTAACGCTGTGTTATGTCACACTCTGAGGTTCTCTGCTATAAACGGCATCCGTCCTATATATTTAGCTATGCCAATCAATATTACGATTATTATTATTATTATTATTATTCCACTGCTTCAAAGTCTTTACTATTTCAACCATTTTCTTTGTAAACAACTTCATAACAATTACCTGGTTCGCTTTACAAACCGGTTTCAGTTTCTCATTAAACTAGTTTCAGTGTACAGGTGAAAATCAACTTTTAATTGCAAAATGTCATATTTTATTTAAAATTGTGATATATTTTACCACTTTATTGAGAAGAAGAAAGAAATATTGAATTTTAGAAGATTTTATGAAAATAACGCAAAGTTTTTCCGACAGGTAAAAGCAATCAACTGAAACCGGTTTGAGAAACTACCTAGCAACAGAACATTTGGTCTGAACTTGTCACATCGATCAATATAATACGGTAATAAATAAAGTAGTCGTTTTATAAAGATTTTATTTTCTATATTGAATGGGACAAGTCAGTCAGCCCGGCAATCGACTCGTTCTCTTTTATATTATTCCTCTATTTCACTATTGTTAATGCTTCACACGCAATCGTGCATTGCGTTAAGACAATATAAGGTTGCAGTGAACTGTAAACTAATGCAGCTGTCCTGGCAAAATGTTCAACTCATTGTACACTGCATGGTGTTCTCAGTCTTCATTAGCCCAGTTTGTACAGAAAAGTAGGACGTAAAACTACATCAGATTTCACTTGACGCTCAGTCGCAACGACTTTGTTTTTCGGAACGCAACAGTCCAGTAAAATTGCTCCTTATTGCAAGATACCACTACCTACGCTTGAGTACCCTCTACCATCCAGCCCCTCGTTGTTTAGAAAATCGGCGTCGAAAAATGGTACCGTCATCGTAGACGTGTGGCGGGGTTACCAAGTCGTGGTCATAGTGACATCCGGTGTTTGAGAAGAGTGACCATCCCCTGCCTCGGTTATTTTCTGCAACACCATGTACAATATACTTATAATTGACAATTCAAAAGTTTGAAATCAATAGAAAAAGGTCGAGTTATATTCATAATGAATAATTACCTAGGTCTAGACTCTGTTATAGTATAGCCTATACAAAACAGAAAATAGTCAATTCAAGATTAATGACTTTTTTGCACTGATAATTACAAGTTTTATGTCGGTACAGTTATAGTGACACTCTTAATACGTCTTTATAAACCAAATATTATGAGTCTTTTTGTTTAATTCTTCACATTTCTCATTTCTTTGAACCCATTATGGTAGATCTAAGCCATAAAATTATAATATTGATAACTTTACATAACGGTATAATTTCTATGTTTCTATTCGCGACCTAGGAATGTCTTTATAATTCAGGTATGTTGACGTTCTAAACTATCCGGCTAAAAATCGCGATCAAAGGTACATGGGTACATGTACAAGTCTTTATTATGGTCTTACAGATTCGTAATTTTCGTCTCAATTTTCTATCTATTTTGGAAATGTTGGTCTTCATTGATTTGGGCTCATTTCCTCTGTCCATCCGTGTTTCGGCATCACCATTCGCATCAGGACGACTTGTCTTAGAAATAGGGGTCAACTTTTCAATATTAAAGCGTATGAGCAAAGTAAAGAAAATTCACCCATGTGACACTCCTCCTCGTCCCCGTCTCCCGACCCCCTCCGCCACTTACCCACTTTGTAATTTCAGAAAGATCTATTACAGATAATTTTATAGCAAGATAATATTGGATATCGAATCAATAAATCTTTAAACTAAATTCACTGAATTGTCGACTTGAAATCAATATCCTACTTGTAAATTACAATAACAACTTTTTAATAGGTTGTTGTATTGTTGAGTCTAGGATGTCGACACCGTTTCACAATGCCATGGTGACTTGGTATTAATATATTCCCGCCCGAAGCGCAAGAGCACGGGTTCCTTTTCAAGCCATATAGTGAAAACATTTTTCACAAGAAAAGAACAATAGACGCTTGTTTGCAAAACTGAACTTTCCTTGAAAGTCGCAAATCTTAAAAAAAACAGGCTAATTCCGCTCATCTGACAAACGTTCCCTCTTTGCTCAATCCGCTAAACAAGAAACTTACAACCCACAATTATTGTAAGGAAAAAACTTCACTAATGATAATCGTTTATCACAAAATTGATGTGCGGCATTTTGGGGGTTGATTTTAGTCTGGAGTGTATGTAAATAGTCTTCGGAAGTACCAGAAAAGTACAAAAATCACATGACACAATTCCTTTAAATATAGTTCAAACAAGGAATTTTACTCACTATTTCCATATATCATGTCTTTCTATATATAACAGAGTATCTTAAAATGACTATCTGAGACTAAAGTATGATCGATCCCTTTACCATTTCGCGATTTTAAAAAAAGACACATCCTACTATTAAATCTATGAAAACTTCAGACTATAGTAAACTCTGTAGAGTAAAACAAGATTTACTTCCCTTAGTTTTGAATTATAGAACGCGGTCGCGCCCTCTACAATTTACACATTATTGACTTTTAGCTGGATGCTGACAAATTCCGATGAATTAGAAAAGAATCCACTGTAGAAATACAAAGATTGCAGGCAAGTTTGTTTATTTTGATGTAAAGTTCATAATGGCAATAAATTTTGCTCCATTTTGAAAGCAAAATGCATCGAAATTACAAAGTTAGCTGAGAGTACAGCGCCCATAAAAATGGGAGGTAACTGGAAGGACAAATCCAGAGGAAAATGTAAACAATGTTTTGACAGCTAATTAACCGTAATTAAGCTAATTAATGGCGATCACTCCTCAGTGATTTTAATTGATTTAGACAACATGTCAGTCCATGCCTGTAATAATCAGTTGAACGTGAACAGAAGGTGACTAAACTCTAAAATCAATCACAATGTTGTAAGCAAAATAAGCCAAAACTCCAAAAAGGTAAGCCACCAACCAAGGACAATTTCAGCAATAGTGTTACAATCTTACACCAAGGGCAAGGTTGCAACAAGGAAGAATCAGTCATTCATTGAATCACTTTTTGAAATGAAAAGTTTTACATTGGGTTAATGCAAATTTAATCCAGATTTCATCATGATTTATAGAATAAGGCCACAGGTGTCCAGGTTGAAAGGAGTTGATATGATTGCAAAAGTTTTGACTTATACAACACTCAACAGTTCAAATCTCAACTAAAATTCATCAATCATTGTCTGTCTTTTTGACTAAATATGTAAATTAATACTTATGCAGCAATGGTAATAATAATTTTTCTTGTATTTTTCAGAATTATGGATGAGAAGATTTCCAATCATCCATGTCACAGACTGAGTATACCGTCTGCTAAACTCTTCTGGTGTCGCCACTGCATGCAATCCTTCGAAGATCCCATAACAAGATGGCGACATAGTAAGAGCTGTAAAACTGGTGGCATTGAAAATCACGAAAAGAGAATAGAACAAGATGTATCTGCACTACAACAATACTGTGAATCGAAACAACGGGAAGATGACATTTCTAAACAGAATCACGGAACCACAACAGAAATTCTAGAAACTGTTACCGGCGAACAATTGGTCATCGTTAAACACGAGACTGTCGAAAATGAAAACGAAGTGTTTGAGAAAATTGAGCAAAAAGGAGAGTACAGTTGTTTTATTTGTAAACGACCATTTCCATCTCTTGAAGACATGAAAGAACACGTCAAGTACCCTTGCAGTAAACGTGAACCAATTGAGTATGGCTCCATTTTGATTCCTGGTTCTGGTGGAACTACATTTATCGATCCACCCACGAACTATTTTCCCAATTCTTCTCGAAAGCAGCAAGTGATTGAGGAACCCATTCCTCCAAAACCCAAGATGCCCATGATAACACGACAACCAGTCTTAGGAGAAATCGTAGAACAATCTGCTGACCCAAGTACTGGAGTCCGAACTTTTGAAGTTCATTCGCAAAATGACGACATCCCATTGAGTGACATTTTATCAAAATTATCAGAAGGTGGATATTTGGTTGCCGGGGAGGAGGCATCAGCTGTCAATCAAGTCGTCGTCGTGCAGCAAGTTGATGAAAAGGGGCAGATAACTCAAACAGAGCACATTCTGCCTCCTCATATTCAAATACAGCAGGGAGTTCAAGGTCAGGAGCCTCAATCTGAAACTCAGGAAGCAGTTCCAGATGAAATTGAAGCAGACGTGATAGATGCTATTCAAGGAATTGATGAAAATTCTCAAGAAGGGGAGATAACCTACTATATCACTGAAACTGGGCAATTGGTTAAAGATCCCATGGAATTGAAATCTGGAAATAAAGAGTTATTTTACTATGACGATGATCAATTTGCTGGGATGAATATATTAACTCAGGCGGCAGAGGCGACCATGGGGAATCTGATTTATCCAGAAAAAAGGAAAGCAGAAGAAGATGAAGATGAAAATGTGAAAAGAAGTCGAGTGCAATGCAAACCGGATGAAGAATTCGGTTCCAACAATCCCCCAGAACCCCCACGATCTCCTCGTAATGATTATCCCTCGTTTGAGAACGGTACAATAAGGATTCTTGGCAGGCTTAGTCAATCTGAAGCAACAAATAGCTCTTCTTACAACAATGATGGTCAAAATGGCAAACAACAGAGTTCTAATCAAGGGGAACAACCCATGGATACAACAGAAAGTTTGAATTCGAGATACATTGACAGAAGCCTCAGTGTTGATTTGCCAATCAGTAGCCATCTTGCTCGATACCCTCAGTCAGATCTCAACCAAAATAATTCTGAACTGTCAAACAGTCTCCCTTCTCCAACACCCAAGAAAGAAAAACCTAAAATTCCTAACAAAGGGAGAGAATCTCCACCCAAGAAATCGAAGAAAAGTCGAAGGAGGTATTCATATGAGGATGAATTTAAGTGCCGAATTTGTGATAAAACTTTTCGAACATCTCAGCTTCTCTCCAGGCATTCTCAGTATCCGTGTAAAATTTTTAACACGCGAAATATGAGTCAAAAAGTTTTGCGTCCAAAACGTGGAACAAATGTTGGCAAACTTTTAAACACAAGTAACCAGAAGTCATCTTCTAAAAATCCATCCCATAATACTAAATCTCAGGCATCACAAAAAACTGTTGTCAATGTATATCGCAAGCCAATGTTGTTATTACATGGACTTAAAGTCTCAACCCTTTTTGAGGAAAAGAAAAAGAGTAAAAAAGTCAAAAAGAGGCCAGAGCCATCGTATATACCAACACTTCCTCGAACAAAAACAATATGGCTACCAAATGAGAAACTGATCATGGACGAACTTCCTGAAAAAGAGCAATTTTTTTATGAACTTGATTTGGTTGGGTGTTACCATTTGTCAGGGGAGCCGCGACCTAATTCTCCTGTGAACGTTCCAAATATTTTCAACCCCGAAAATAAGTTCCTTGAAAATCAATCGTCATCCGAAAAAACAAACGATGTCTTCACACCTCTTACGATTTCAACAGATATCGATTGCAGTAGAAATATTTCCTTACTGGAAGACTTTTCTCCGCCAATCCTGGAGCGTATGGATTTAGTAAATAGTCCAGAACTGTCCAGTCCTAATCTACCAGACGAACCTCCAGTTTTAATCCCAGTGATTGAAGCTGTGACTAAATCAGAAAAGATACTAGATGATTCTGACTACACTTTTGATTTCTCATCAACTCCGAAATCAAAAACGCCTGAAACCAGACGTCATTTTATGGATTTGTTTATTGAAGCCTCACCAATTACCGCTCAAAAACAAAATGGCAGCCAACAACTTGATGACGCAGACGCCAAGAAATCTCCATTGAAGAACATGATCACAAAGAATGATCTCATTTCAAAACTGACCAATAGTCTAAAGAAGAAGCTGACTCCACAGAAAATCTTGCCAATGTCAACTGAAGCAACCATTGCCGCCAAACGCAGTCTGTTACCTTCGTTTGATAATATTTCTGTCCATGATTCAAATGCTCCAGTCAAGGCAAAGAAGCGTTTAGTTTTACCAATCTCAAAATTAAATGGTGTCAAATCCCCTTCTAAATTAAATGTAGTCATTTTCAAACAAAAGTCACAATTCCGCAAATTTGTTGAGCGTAAAACTATCACGAAACAAGTATTCGCAGATCAAGAGCTAGAAGACGACATTTGTGAACTTTTGGACTATATGCTTGAAAAAGTTGCGACACAAAATGCACCAAATATTGGCAGCTTCTCGGATTTAGAAATTGACTCTGATGTGAAAATAAAACCTGAAAAAATGGTAAAAGATGCCTCAAATAGTTTTGAAAGTGAGACCAGTAAAACTGAAAACTCAGCTCCCGGTACTACATCTTGGAAAGAATTAAAAGGTGTGCTTCACAGACGAAATGAAATTAAGAAACTTTTAAACAGTATGCTTAAAACAGTTATGTGTCGCAAAATTTCTGAAATAGATTTGGACAAGACAGATATTCAAAATTTGATGAACAAAATAGTCAACAAAGTGACACATTCTTGTGAAACATCAGCTAAAAATTACCAATTGACTGATGAAGTCCGTGAAATTTTGGACCAAATAGTGTGTAAAGTTTCTGACAAGCAAATCGATCTTGATGTTCAACAATCTTTAGATCAAATTGTGCAAAATATTGTCGACCATCAAACTAATTTTGAAGTGGGTAAGATTTTAAACGAAATGGTGTCAAATGTGGTATCGAAATATCAAGCTGATCTCATGCGAAATGAAATCAGTGAAATTTTAAATAAAATTGTAAGGGAAATCTCTGAAAATTTAGAAGTGGAAAATTTGGAAATGAATAGAAACAGTTTAGATTGTTTGGAAATGGACACCAAGTCAGATGTGAATGCGAATAATTTGACTTCAAAATTAGAAACTATTAAAATTGAAGTGGACGACGGAGAAGACATGTTTTTTGTGATGAAGGACGGAAATTTAATTCTCAAAGAAATGGTCAGTGATTTTGAAGCAGACGATTTCTCGCAGACGACAGACTCTGTGAAAAATGAATCGCCAGATTCAAATGAATCTTTTTCAGATGATGCAAAAGACAGTGACTTCAATTGTGGAGGTGAGTTTCAAAATGGATTCTCAAACTCTGATGACAGTTCAAATTCGAAATCGGATTTCAATTCAAATTCACAAAGTGTTCTGCATGACGAAGGAATTGTGAGCGACATTTCAGCAGCAGACAATTCTGAACGAGACATGTTAAAGAATGAAGCAACACGCCCAAATGTGACGGTACAATATATTCCCCGTATCAATTCGGTAGATGCCTTGACGTCTGAGAAACTCAATTTCGGACTGGACAATGACTTTGATAAAGAAGGTAGTCCAGATTACATAGTGTCTAAAATAGTCTTCAATGAAGAAGAAATAGTATTGAATGATTCAGGTCTGGATGACAGTGATGAAATAGTCTCTCAATCTAGTCTTGATTCAAATAATATTCTGCAGGATGTTCCATGTTATACAAAATTTGCATAAATTTGAATTTTCACGTTAAAGGAATGGTAAAGAGGTTTACTTGATTTATTATGTATATTGGATACACTTGAAATTCACTTAGTGATGGATTTATTGTTAAATGATTGTTAAAAGGTTTTCTGACTTTATTATCTGTATCTAAGACAATTTCTATTTCTATTGGCACCATTCTGATTTCTCTTAATGATAAATTCCTAAAAGTCCACAAAAGACACTTGAGGCCCTGATGGTTTTTGGGATCCAAATTTCAGATTACAGTGCCTAGTGCCCTCACATTATAGCGATCATCAGATGCGTACGGCAAGGCAAATGTCCACTTTCATTATTAGCAACCATAAGAAACTGGTAATAGCTATCATTTAGTATAGTGGTAATTTTGGAAGAGTTTACAAAAAGAGATACAAAAAAGAGTCAAATCTTATAATTTCTTTGATACACACAATAAGGCTAGAAAACCTCTTTACGTTTACTTGAAATTTGAAGTTTGATGTTTGAATTCTATATCTTTATAACTGAGTGGTCTGAAACTTTTGTCAACTTTGTCCAGTTCAAAGGTCAAACATTGCACCTTATAGAGGTTATTGGTTATAGTTGAAATTGTTTGAAATATTTGATTTTGAGAAGTTGAAGAGTTAAAATTGTTGATGATTTATGAATTAATGTAAAAGTTAAATGGTTAATTTGGATGTTTATATTTTGAATTTTGTTTGTTATTATTTATTTTGTTTGTTTGTATCCAAATTGAAAAAAAAGTGGGCGAATTTTTCAACACATTTATGTTTAATTCTGGTAGTTTATTGTATTGTTGTTAATATCAGACTCCCCAATTAATACATTCATTGAAACATGGTTCACTTATCCAAATTATCTACTAAATTATTTACTGAATAGCTATGTATGATGGGGTGTATTAAACCAAACTAACTTTTATCATAATTACCAAATAAAAGGTGTGGTGAAAATGTTAATAAAGCGTCTGTAATCTGCTCTCCTTATATATTTGGATCAAGAAAATTTGTATTTATCCATAAAGATATTAATAGATATTGTTTTAATAATAATAATGGTATTATATTATTTCTTTGAAGTGCATGCAATATGGAATATGTGGAATGGGATGATATATCCTACTGTTCAGGTGCCTTATTCTCTTAATCTTAACTATGATAAAAATTCAGATTTTATGACATACTGTTTTCTGATTGGATAGAAAAATTGAATTTTAAATCGATTTTAATAATTGACCAATCAGGTGACTGGCACACTAACATCATCTGAAGTTAAGTTTTCAAGAAAAAGGCCCCTGTATCTTATTGTACTAATGAAATGAAAAGAAATTTTATGTCGTACTGTTCTGTACCTTATTCGACTAATGAAATGAAATAGAGTTTTATGTCCTACTGTTCTGTACCTTATTAGACTAATGAAATGAAATAGAGTTTTATGTCCTACTGTTCTGTACCTTATTAGACTAATGAAATGAAATAGAGTTTTATATCCTACTGTTCTGTACCTTATTCGACTAATGAAATGAAATAGAGTTTTATGTCCTACTGTTCTGTACCTTATTAGACTAATGAAATGAAATAGAGTTTTATGTCCTACTGTTCTGTACCTTATTAGACTAATGAAATGAAATAGAGTTTTATGTCCTACTGTTCTGTATCTTATTAGACTAATGAAATGAAATAGAGTTTTATGTCCTACTGTTCTGTATCTTATTAGATTAATGAAATGAAATAGAGTTTTATGTCCTACTGTTCTGTACCTTATTAGATAAATGAAATGAAATAGAGTTTTATGTCCTACTGTTCTGTACCTTATTAGATTAATGAAATGAAATAGAGTTTTATATCCTACTGTTCTGTACTTTATTAGATTAATGAAATGAAATAGAGTTTTATATCCTACTGTTCTGTATCTTATTAGACTAATGAAATGAAATAGAGTTTTATGTCCTACTGTTCTGTACCTTATTAGATTAATGAAAGAATTTATGCCTAACTGTGTTTAGAACATGCTCAATCTCAATGAAGAGAAAAGTGACATAAAAAGATCTTAGTTTGAAGACTAAAGAAGTATAAATTTTCCCCTTCTCATAGTACAAAGTTTTAAATGAAAGTTTGTGTATATAATGTTAGAATGAGTTTTAATGTTTCAATTGATGGTTATTTTGTATTTGATATTTTCAATTGTTTTTCATTGTTAATAAACTTAGAATTATGAATTTTGTCTGTTTTCAAATGAGGTTAATGGTCATGTTCTTCACCAACCGTTATTAAAGGCTGGGCATGTTGAAGCTTTAAAGTCTGTATTTTACCAATATTTTATTGACAATAAGACAGAAACAGATGGAGAAACAGGCTTTCCCTGTATGGACAGTTGGGAATTGAAAAAGGGTAGCCTAATGCTGCTGTCCTGGCAAAATTTTTCTAATTGCACACTGCATGGTTCTTCTCCTAAGGGCTGAAAGCAGGATGTAAGAATTGCTCCATCAACCGAGTCAGTCAGCTGAGTGGATGGTCCAAAACATCTGCCTCTATTCCAGTCTCTGATAGCTATTTTGAAAGTTGCCGACAACACTGTCAGGCTGAAATGGAGGCAGACGTGAGGATTATAGCAGAAGCAGAGTTATGTAACTCATTGGTCATACCTACAGTTATAAAGGCAACAAAATAAAAGAATAAGAACCCACCCATTACTCTGGTGGTAGTCAATAAGATTGTTGTCTGCTAGGCATTTGGGTGCCTTGTGTTCGAATCCTTTTCAAGGAAAGAATAATTCTTATGTCAAGGGAAGTCCCCTCTGGTAATGGCTTCAAACCCCACCAATGGATGAAATGTTTGAATCTTTTTATTAGTGAATTGAAATGGGAATTTAACTGTTGTCTGAATAAAATGGATTGCCTCCCTTTAAGCCAACTCTTCATAGGAACAGAGTTTGTTTACAAATGGCTGCCTTTCATTTGTCAGAATCTGTGCAACGTAAAAAACTTTGATTTTCTCCAAGAAAAAATGGTTGATTAAGGTAAAAACAACTTGTTCCCTTTGAATACGAACCTTTTTTATTTAAAAATCGTCTCTCATTCCTATTTCTTCAGATTTTCTTAATGTTTTTCTCTGCCAGACTGCAAAAAGTCTTCAGTTCATGGCTTCAGATCGAGCACCTGCTATGGCTATGGCAATCCTGTTGAGCCTAATTTGCCTCTGCACTTGTAGTGGCTCAGCTGAGCAATCAGCTTCCCTTAAGGTGCATCTTGCCATTGACATGGAAAAATATATTGCTATAGACTATTGAATTAATAAAATTCTCTAAAGGACCATATAGTGTCTCAACCACATATGGGAGGGAGGAATTTTTTTGCATCAGACATATATATATAAATAAGGAATTTTTGCGTCAGACAAGAAAGCCTGTTCTATAGCTTGTGAAGGACAGTAGACTAGTAAGAAGTGGAGAAAACACATAACAAAACAACTTTTGCTCAAAACTTTGGTACTATGCTATTCAATAAGTGTATTATACCATAATATATTCCTTTGTGTTTTATGTTAAAGATATAGTATTTGTAATTTCAGATTTGTGTTTGTGCTAGATTAACCAACAGACATTCATAATGTCGATGAGAACGAGAATTCGTGGTTTCACAGCCTGGGTGAACCTGCGTATCAATCCCTACAATCATCTGTTAAATAACGTCTTGATGGACATATTGACAGGGACTAACATGAAATATTTCTTAGAAAGTTTTACAGGACGCGATTTAAAAAGACTTGAAACTTTTGATGGGTGAGTTCATATAGATTTAGATCTTCAATTTTTTAGAGCGATATCTTTTCCTTTTCCTCAAACTATAGCCTACTATTTTTACACTAATCATCTCTAACTCCTTGTTCATATCAGTGCTGTATTGAGAATACTGTTCTCATCTCACTCTATCACTATAAGTGCAATGCAACCTTTGTGCAACCTTTATGAGCACAATCTGTCCCTTTGTTCACCTGTTGAATTGAATTGAATTGTGTAGCTGTTGTGATACACATTGATTGAATCCCATAAATCTAAAATGACCCCAATGACCTCACTTTATGTGAAGACAGTTTCTGGCTAATCAGAGAGCTTAAAAACAATGATGAATATGTTCTGATTATACATAAATATTTTCAGATTAACAGCCCAACAGAAGATCACAAGAGTTGATTGGATTGTAGATGAACTAAAAGCATGTAAAGTTATTCCTGAAGATGTCCATGTTGATTCTAGATTGTTTGCTATGAGAAGTACAGATCATGTGAGTAAATAGATTTGGAGATGGAACAAAGTTAATGCACCAGCATACGCTACATACTGTGAATGTTTTAGATCCCTTAACAGTTGTGTCCTTGCAAATTTATTTTGCACACATTGGACAAAGCAGGTCTTCATTTGATTGATAAGATGTAGACTGAAGACATTGAACTTAACTGAACTCAAATTTCATTATTCTAGCAGATCATAGGATACAAAACTTCATTGTAAATATGCATGTACTAGAAATAGATGTCACAATGATAAAGCTGAAATTTGATTATACTGGGGAACAATTTGGATGTAAAACTCTAAGATATGAGTTCTATATTGTAGGTATTTGATTTAATATGGAGATTAATCAGTCATGATATTTGGTTTGTGTGGGAAAGAGTCGAGTTTCTACAACATGACGATATTGATATTCTTACTCAGGTTCCTTTTAAGGTAACTTTGTTTTCATTATTTTCTTGGTTCTCCCAAGTTTGTACATCTGAATTGTAAAGGCTATCTCTTAATCTGGGTTCAAATTTGGCTGGAAATGAGGGGAAATTGACTTAGAATTTGTACATCTAAGTTGTTTTTACTGTCTTCTGATACCCACAATTTATTACAGATACCCAAGTTTCTGTTTTTCCAATGTAATCTCCTGATTAGGGTTCAAATTTGGCTGGAAATGAGGGGAAATTGACTTAGAATTTGTACATCTAAGTTGTTTTTACTGTCTTCTGATACCCACAATTTATTACAGATACCCAAGTTTCTGTTTTTCCAATGTAATCTCCTGATTAGGGTTCAAATTTGTCCAGAAATAAAAGGAGAAGGTACTTCTACTTGGTAGAAATGTTTGGAGACTGGGAAAAACTTTGGGAGAAGTGACAGAGAATTTGTATATTATGATCATCTGAATATTGTTGAAAATCATTTAAGATGTTTCTAACCCCCTATTTTTTTAATTTTCCAGTGGACTCCAGATCCCCCACCCCAGAAGAAGAAAAAGAGTAAATCTAAACAATCTTTATTAACTGGGTTTGGGTCATCTTCAATGGTGGAAGACACATCTGTAGAGGTTTGCTACTGACTTTTATATCTTCTATCATGAATGTGTTTTTATTTTTGGAAGAAATGCATCGATGTAGCTCAAGTATATGGTGGTTGTATGCCTGGATTTCTGTTTTCTGCATTTGCAAGTCTGACGTTTTTTCCATTTGTCTTTTTGAAACTAAAGACACAACTCTGTCTCTGACCTTTGAAGTGGCTCCGTGAGTTAGATACCTGAAGGTTCAGGGTCCAGTCTCGACAAGATTGATGTGATATCCCTTCATGTTTTTCAACCTGCCATTATTCTGGCCCTGACATAATATTAGAAAATGAATTGTAGCCAGAACCAGATGAAGAATGGGTTCAGTTTCCACGTGCTGATTTTATGAAGAACTTCAAGAAGAAAAGACGAGATTTCGGGAAATATCCGACACCAGAGAATTGTATTTTAGAAATGGTTAATACACAGTTAAAGGTGAGCTGTTAAGGGATGTTGTTCTTTGTCATATTTACCAGTCATGTATAGCTTGTGTTACTGCAAACGTCTGACAGTGACTGTATCTTTATGTTGTTTGATTGATTTTAGTTGAGATTGACTTCTGAAACATTACTTCATGACCTTCTAATAGAATAGGAGAAAAAATTGTTCAATTCAATTGCATTAATATTTATTTTTCAGAAAACTAAAGAAGGCAGATCAATCCATTGTTATGTAAGTAATTCAATCAAATTATCTCCCCTAGCACACTAAAGGGAAGTAATTAAAGCAAATTATCTCCCCTAGCACACTAAAGGGAAGTAATTCAAGCAAATTATCTCCCCTAGCACACTAAAGGGAAGTAATTCAATCAAATTAACACTTAACACATGTTTACCTCCTTGTAATTGGATAATATATTGTTACCCTGGTTGGGAACCACTGTACTATAATATTTTGCTTGTGATTTTTCCTTAAATGATTACTCTAAAACTGAATTGAAATATTGAACTATTTATTAATAATTTTCAGACAGTAGATGATTTGGTAGATAGTCGTGTTTTATGTGCCCTCGTTAATTCGTTTGTACCAAGTACATTTACTGCTGATTTATTACTTAATGACAGGTATAATTATAGACTTTAGTTTTATCAGTATGTATACAGCAATGAAGTTTTGCCTAGGTTCATAAGGTAAAAGCATCCTAAGAATATGATTTATTATTGAAGTGTAATATCTATCAATGCTTCTTTTTTGGAAGTTGAAAGATAACTGGTTCTGATTGCGACTTTTAGGTCATATTTTGGCAGAGAAACATACGCCAGTTTTTTAATAATAATTATTCTGCTTTTATATCCCAAACTATTTGAAAAAGATTCAAGAAAATTTCTATAATCTGAATAAAATCAGCAAATAATGAGTACTAAAATAAACACATATTCTATTTTTTATGTTTCTAGATGGACAATTAACCTGATTCTAAGAACAGCTGAGAGAATGTTTTATATTAATACACCATTTGATTCTGAGGACTTGGTAGACGTAAGTTTATGTTGTTTTATCTAAAATTAGAAGTTTTGCATGTTATAGATCACTCTACTGTTTGAAATTAAGTAAATACTAGTGTTATCATTAGTCCAATTAGATATAGAATATTAGGATATAAAATCTCATTTCTTAAGGCTATATTGATCATGTTAAATTATTTTCTTTTCATTTCATTATATATGTATCTGTTTTAATTTCAGGCTGACCCGATGGCCGTGTGTAGTTATTTTTGTTTTTTCTTTATGTGTGCCTATAAATATCGTCAACTGAAGGCTGTTATTAATAGAATAGTAAGTTTCTTCATTTTTCTTTTTATTATCTCCAAAGAAATATGATTGTGCTGCATTTCTTGGATCAGATTAAGATAAGAACCCATAACCACCATTTGTTCGCTGTAACCAAACAAATAACATCATGTAAAGAGCCAACGCTCTAACTGACTGTGCTTTGGAACCTCAAATAGAGATAGTAAAGATCTAAACTCTGTTCATTCCAGGATTGGATCAAGAAATTGATGAGAGAATGTTATCAAGTTATAAACAGACTTCCAGAAACACCGACCGGGGCCTCACAAATACAACAGAAGAAAGATATGCTGAAGGAAACGGGCAGGCATAAAGATGGTGGGTTTAAATCAATTTTGTTTCAGTGAGGACTCAAGTGCAGATGTGTGATAATGATACATGTTTTTGATCAGATCAATCCTCATCCTTGCAAATTTCCCAAATTTCCTGTATTGCGCACTGCATATGGTGGGCCATCCTCCTTTCATAGGACATGTGGGTTTATTATCATTGTATTGTACTATTATTTACCTCCCATAACACCTTGTTACACAGTATACCACTAAATTCATCTGGTATCTCATGTTTGTGAATCAATACATAACTTTACAAGGCTTACTAGACAAACATATATATATATATATGTTAAAAGATAAATTATAAAGTGGAAGGAAAACAGTAATCAGATAAAATCAAATAACATGATCATTATTTCAGCTATTGTCATCATGGAGAAAAGGTATGACGTAACTTACGGGAGAAAATGGCTGCAAGATGTCGAGAACTGTAAACTGGAGGTAGAAATTTCTTCAAATGTTTTGACTATTCCCTGGGGGTACCAGTGAAACTTTAAGGGCAGCCTAGAAGCTGCTGTGTAAATTTTGAAATAAGTACAGCAGAAGTAAATACAATTCATGAAATATTATGTAGTGGCCCAATTTACTTTGCTTATGGTGGGCAGAGGGGTACCAGGGGCATCTTAATGTGGAAAAGGGTGACTGTAGTTTAAGTTTTGGCAATCAATCTTACATAGTTTGATTTTCTTATTGATATTGTTGGCATGTTAGAAAGATTTTTTTGAGGATAATGCCATATATATAACAATTTCAATTGTCAATTGTGATATACTAGTTTAGTTTAAATATATTTTATGCTAATTGGTGAATGGATGAGGGCAAAATTACAAAAAACTTGCTAAGTACCATCTCCATACTTCTCTATAGTCTGTAACTATATTTTCTTCAAGTTATTAAATGTATGATTGATATTGTATGATTGATATTGTATGATTGATATTATATGATTGATATTGTATGATTGATATTGTATGATTGATATTGTATTATTGATATTGTATGATTGATATTGTATGATTGATATTGTATGATTGATATTGTATTATTGATATTATATGATTGATATTGTATGATTGATATTGTATGATTGATATTATATGATTGATATTGTATTATTGATATTGTATTATTGATATTGTATGATTGATATTATATGATTGATATTATATGATTGATATTGTATGATTGATATTATATGATTGATATTGTATGATTGATATTGTATGATTGATATTGTATGATTGATATTGTAGGCTCGTAAAGAAATAAAAAAGAAGATTAAAGATAGATTTGATATTATTACAATACCACGTAATATCACTATTAACGATCTGTGTTTATCATTCGTTATCAACTTGGTGAGTAAATTATAGGACTGTATTTGCCATTCTTCACTATTGTATAAAATATAATGATATGATATCTGATGAAGCTATTCTATATTACCAGTAGCTAAAATTATTCTTATGTGAACTAGAACAGAAGGGTAAAACTACATGATATCTCCCCCATGTTTGGTTTTCGGTTTAATAAAACTGTTTTTATAAAATATTTTGTCTTTCCTTCATTTACCTTTTGATATGACAAAACTCCTTCAGTATAAAACAAAATGCTACCAAAGCTCCAAGATATTTGAACACAGGGCTAATGTAACTAATTTTCATAATAATTCCCTATTATTTCAGAGTTTAACGAATGGATCTGGGTTTTATCTACTGGAGACTAAAGAAATGTTGACTGATGGACGAAAAGTGGTTTTATTTAACAAACAAACTGAAGAGTTCCTTGATGATTTTACTGTCAAAACAAAAGGTATTGTTTTATTGAATTTAGTTCTGAAATCTATTAGCTAACTGTACATTTTGCAAAATCAGCGTCGGATACTGTTTTTGCAAACTGTATTATTTCCATGATCAAATGCCAACTACGTGTTTGTCAGTGATTCAAGAAAGGTAGTAGACTAAGAATTATATGTTATAACTATGTATATTTAAATAATGAATGCTATTTTTAATTTTCAGTGCCCATAAAGAAAATATTAAAGCTACCAGATGTCAATGTTGTGGAGTTGAATCCACAGAATTATCCTCAATATGATGTAAGTACCGGCTATTTTAGAATTTGAGAAACATGTCAGAATATGCAACACACAGATTTGAAACACAAATGAAAAGAAAATATATGTGTTTACTCTCCAAAACAACGGCACTATCACCAATCTAAAAGTAGGATCTCTGCCTTTGCTAGGATTGACCGAATCAGATCAAGCAAGTGTCTAAATCACTAACACACCTTCAATCCAAGGAACAGCTGAAGTTATTTTTTCAAGGCAATATTTCCAATCTGAAAGTGGGATCTCTACCTGCTAGGATTGATGGAACCAGATCTGCAGATCGAGCAAGCGTTTAAGTCACTTAATGTGCCCTCACTTTATAGTGATCACTAGTTGTGTATGGTTGTGAATAATGAAAGTGGTATGAAAATAATGAAAAGGAGGTCCAAACACACTCATGACCCCTTCCATTATTTGCAACCATATGCAACTGGTGATCACTAAGGCTGCGTTAGCCACCAAAACCCAATTTACCAGCTGAGCAAATTTTCCCTTTCAGATTTATGTGGAAGCTTCAAGCAGAAACAAACAGATGAAAAATGGCACTAAATTTTTATACCAAGTTTTTCCAGGCAATACTGTCACATGGCAGAGACATTTTATAAAATGTGCACGAGAGAATGATTATGACGTTGTGGATAAAATGATTACGTTTTTTATGGGTTCAGGATCGTTTGTCAACTGTAAAGAACCTAAGTCTGGGATGTCAGCTTTACATTGGGCCAGTCGCGAGGGTAATACAGTAAGTATAATAATCCTTTAGCGACATTTAGGGGTAGAGATCACATTAAATAACGGAACACAATTTTATGGTATACTACTCCTTAGTTTTATTACACACTACGTTTATATTTTTTGTGTATATATATAACTTCTTGCACCATATTTCCTCACTTCACCTGAAGATGACAATGTAGATTGTTGAAACGTCGTGTGTAATAAAACTAAGGAATAGTATATCATAAAATTGTGTTCTGTTATTTAGTAAGTATATTAGGTGGTTTTGATATGATTCTTTTTCCTGTAATTATTTCCTTTTTTGATATAAGGTCTAAGATAATAGACTATTTCTGGGGTTGATAATTTTAATGATATATACTCAGAATTTTCATTTTGATCCCATGTCTTCAAAAAATCCAATTCAACATTACATCTCATATCAGAGAAAACATGAAAATATAAATGAATTGGAATGAAGATTTATGGATTACAATTAGATTGTTGAGTTCTAACATTTTGGAATATTTGAATAGTTTTCTCATTTTTCCAGGATATTGTATTATTGTTGTTAGAAAATGGAGCCAACATCGATGCCAAAAATAATTTTAAATGTACTCCATTTCATTCTGCTGTCGAGGGCTTACAGAGGAAAATCTGTCATGTAAGTTACCTAATGAATGAGAAAAGAGACAAGAAACCAAGGCTTTTTGTGCTGCAGGCTGTGCCTTAAGAAATCCCTATACTGTTGGAAATAAAAATGAATTGAAATCTATCTGTCAAAGCAAAATTTCCCTCATTTCACACTGCATGGTACTGCTTATCATCTACAGAATATTAAACTCTATTTATTTCAGATATTGGAAAAATTTCCCTAATTGCGTACTGCATCATATTATGAACTGTCAATGTAAAGAATGTCAAACTCTGTTTATTACTATTGATATATGTAGTACATTACCTACTGTATGGCCTTGCTGTATTGCCAGCCATCAATGTAAAGCAATGTAAAAGTCCATTTTATTTCAGATATTAATAGAATGGGGTTGTGATGTACATATAAAAAACAATCGAGGTCAAACTCCAATAGAATCAGCTAAAAATGATGATTTTAAACAGTATTTAGTTGGTAGGTCAATTATATAAAATAAAAAAAATGAGTAGCAATTGCTTGTCCCTTGTCTCAAAAGGAACTAATGATTTGCAACAAATTTGATTGAGAGTTATTTCCCTTGTTTGGAAACTGGAAAATAGTACAGCTCATGCGCTTTTCGCTGATTTTAATGAAAATTTGTATGTACATGTATGTATAAAATAAAGGCCTGGACATACAAAAAAGTATAAAAGTAGACGAAAGCAACCCAGTCTCACATAGCCAATGACTTGTCCTATATTTAGGTTGTTGAGAAGTTAGTGAACATTAACGCGACAAGCAGCTTATACATATTAACGTCATTTTGACTTTTTAATATTTGAATCTGTAATATTTTGGAGGTTTGCTAAAATACATGTCTGTGATCAAACAATTCTGCTTCTTCGTATCCTATATTTTGGTGCCATGACCAGGATATGACTCTAGTAAAAGGACCACGTTTGGGACACAGATGCGCCCTCACAAAACTAGTCAAAAGAGGATCTGAGGATCAAATTGAACCGGCTAGATGGTGCCCACTATCTCGTTTTTGAAAATGATTTTCAAAATTATGCATTGTTTTTATTTCAGAATTATACACCCACTATTCAGAAATGGTGCCAAGAATTATGAATGGTGATATGGAATTATTGAAAAAAGTCATCAAGGAACAGGAAGTTAGTGGAGACCAGTTCCACTCTATACAGAGCAGGTCAGTTAACATCCTTGGTTACGTCAAACAAATGGTGGTCGAAAGTTTTAATCATAGTCAGGGTGTGAAAGTTGTTCATTAAGTCATCTTTCCTTATCATTCAAGCCTACCCAGCTGTAAAGAGATAATCTTGTAGGGTCCTGGACTAGTTAGCTGTTATTCTTGTGAAAACGCGAGGTTTAGCCAAGGAGCAGCTTGTAAACAGAATCTCTGAGAGCATAAGATGTTATTTTTGTCAAGTCATTGTTAAGAGGTTTACACAGGGACCAGCTGTTAGATAGTTATTATTATTTTCTTTCGTTCTTGTAAAATTTCTTTCTTTCTTTTTTTTTGATAGATGTATTAATGGAAGTACGTTATTACACACAGCCTGTTACTATGGTGATAAAGACGTCGTATTAGAATTATTATCTAAACATCGGTTCCCTGTTAGTCTCCTTGACTACAAGTCTGCTACTCCTTTACATAGAGCTAAAGATGTCAGCACAATGGAGGTCTGAAGTTTTTCGTGTTTTTTTAATTTGATTGACTTTCAGTTATTTGCTTGGGAAAATTAATCGAGAGCCTGCGTGGGACAGACTCTGCATGTTAAAAAGAAGATTAAAGGGGGATCAAAATTCAAGATCTGAGTCACTGGTCTGGATCTGTACTGGCACTCTATGTAACACTAAAAAAATCATACAGATGTTATCAATACATGGCTCTGTACAGAATAGCTCATTAGCTAATTAGTTAGACTGTCGTCTGGTAGGTGATTAGGTGTCATGGGTTCGAATCCTTCTCATGGTCACAGCCACTACTGAGGCATTTTATATAAAGCTAAGTCAATACTTGGCTCTGTAATAAAAAGCTTATTATCTAGTGAGACTATCGTCTGCTGGGCGAATGTTGACAGTGGGTTTGAATCCTACACAAAGTAATAAAAATTCTGATGCTACGACATATGCTTGTGAGAGTCAGCTCGGTGTCTGCTTTCACCACCTAATAGAGAGGATTAAGATATCTGAACTATCTGAACATGCATCACCCCCTCTCATGGATAATATTCATAACAATGATTTCTATAATGTAGATATTATTAGAATGTGAAGCTGTAATTGATAGTGAAGATTGTGAAGGGAATACACCTCTACATGTTAAATGTTATGGTGAATCAGGGAAACCGTCCGAACTTCCCTGTATCGAATTGTTACTCAATAAAAAAGCTGATCAAACAAAACGGAATCATAAGGTAAGTCATTAAGTCAGTTCATTTTTCCTGTGAAACTTATTTGCTGTCAGTTATTATGTGAAACAAGGAAACAATCATTTTTTACAAGGATAACAACTTAGTTTCACAGGACTTTTCTACCAGCTGGTTCTTGACCAAACCTCTTGATCTTTCCCGTAATATCTGTCCCCATTTACTCAAAGATCAGATTGATATGAAATCAAACCACCTTTTTGAATTTTCTATATTTCAGGGTCTGTTGCCGATTCATTGTTGTGCTATGCAGGGTCGTACTGACGTGATGCAGTTACTGATGACTTTTGACACGGAGCAGAAATTAATTCGAACACTGAACGAAGAAGAAGATCGACATCCACCTAGCTTATTACATCTTGCTCTAGCTAACGATTTTATTGATGCCTCTTACTGGTAAGGTTTATCAGGGTTTGACTTTTTTTAGAAATTTAGGGAGAAGTTATATCTGCCTGATGGAAATTTTAGGAAACTTGATAGGAGAGGTGACAGGGAAATTGTATTGAAATATTAGGGTGCTTTTAGTCAGATATTGAGGGAGACGTAATGAGACTTTTGAAGAAGGGGCAGAGAAATTGTATATTGTGATCTAGTTCAATACATGAAACTGGTGATTTTTGCGCATGATATGAAATTTAGAGGGGCGTAGGCTGGATGGGCAAAGGGGGTTGTCTATCAGAATCCTCCCACAGAAACCAGGAATTTTTAGTTTCTTACTTTCACCACACTGGTTCCAAAAATAAATGCAGCAAATTTGGCAAATTTTTTGGTATCCTTGTACAGTGATTCTGAGCATCCACCTGGTGTTGGCTTCAACCCCCGCTCTATTCATAAACCATGACATTTTGTGTTTTGTTTCCAGGTTAATGGAGAATGGTTTTAGTTTTAAAGAGAAGGAACCTGATATTCTATTAAAGAGAATTTTAACAGAGCAGATTAAATTGTAAGTTTATTATTTTAACATCAATAACACACACTAGTATAAACTACATGATCTTTATGAACAAAGCATGCTGACTGATTGTCAGTTCAAGAATTTGATTGAATTTTAGTTCCACTATAATAAGTACTGTGCAGGGTGTTGCTAGAAAGACAGAACAGAACATCTGATACCATTCTGCTGTATGATAGCTAAGCATATTGACTGGAAAACCACATTCAAAAACTTCTTTATGTCAATATTTTGTAGAAATGACCGAGCTGTAGCTGCTAAGTTTTTGATGGAGAATGGAGCTGACCCTAATCCACATTACCCTGGTGGTAATACGTAAGTTTTATTAAGCAATTTGCAATATTTTTTATTTCTTTTTTATTTCGCGTCTGCCATTTATAGTTGAACAAATTAAAACATAAGTTGTAAAACGTGTAATGAGCGCACTTTTTTTTTATTTCATTTTAGCCTAAAAGTATAGTAGACTGCTTGTGTCTTGTTTTGAATCAGACCAGGATGTGCACAAATGCTTTGCTCCACAATAACTACAATTTTCTGACAGTAAAATTTATTCATTTGAGTCATTCTACATGTTATTTCAGGGCTTTACACTATGCCTCTAGTCTGAGTGGTACGACAGATATTTTAGAGTTGATTTTAACGTTCGGTGGTGATGTAGACCTGATGAATGATGAAGGGTGCACGCCACTTTTCTTCGCCACTCAATCTAATAATCAACTAGCAGCTTGTATTCTGATTGGACAGGGAGCTTCGGTCAGACATAAAAACATGCAAGGTTAGAGCAGTCATTTTTCAGAATCTATGGTTTAACTCAATTTTCTAGATAAGCCCAGTCAAGGCTGTGCAGGTTAAAGATTCCTTACCAGTTGAAAAAATGAAAGAGTAGGCTAATGCCATTTCTCTTATGACTTTCAATAGTCTTCAATAGCTTATTCATTTCATGATTTTTTCCTGATTTCTAAGGCATCATTATTTGATCATTCCCTAATAAATTATCAGGAATAGTTTGCCAGAATTCAACATATTCCTCAAGTTTCTAACTTTCTAAGAACATAATTATCATCCCTGATTTTTTTAGATTCATGTTCATTAATTCACCTATGCTCTGTGATTTTAGGTCTGACAGCGTTTGATTATATCGTGGATTTTGAAGAGTGGATTGAATCAGGATATTTTACTGATGATGTTAAAGCTAGACTGAAAGGTAAGATTCCTATCATGAAGCTAGAGGTGTGGCTTAATCTGACAATCATGCTTAAGGTGGGGCCAAACCTGTCAATCATGCAAAAGGTGTGGCTAAACTTGTCAATCATGCTTAAGGTGGGATCAAACGTGTCAATTATGCAAAAGGTGTGGGCCACACTAAACTTGTCAATCTTGTAAAAGGCAGGGCCTAGCCTGTGGCTAAACTTGTCAATCAAGGTGTGGCTTATCTAATCTTGTCAATGGTGTAAAAGGCGGGGCCAAACCTGTCAATCATGCTAATGTGTGTGGCTTATCCGATAGTATCAGATGTTCCAAGTACATGTATATTATTAATAACCTGTCTTATTTTTCAGCATATAGTTTAAAACACGCTCGAGATTTGATCCGAGCTATTACTAAACGTGTCAAACCAACATCTAACCAACCTGGACGTTCAGAAATGGGGAAGTCTACAATCTCATTGAAGTCCCAGACATCCAGTCCTGTAGCGTGGAGTCGATCTCAAGTATCCCACAATTCCATCACTCAATACCAACCTGCTATTTTACCTCCCATTGGTCAGACGAGTGGTGGATATTTGATGTTTTAACTGTCAATCTGAACTAACGTACCAAGAGTAATTAGACATGATCCCTATCTGATTCTAATACAAACCTAGATGAAAATAAATCCAGATATGGAAGATCTAATTCAGTGCCAACAGGGCATGTTCCGACCCATCAAAATGGGGGTTGTCTCTTAAGAAAGGTATTTGTCTCGTTCCCTATCTGATTCAAATACAAATCTTGTTATAAAAAGTTCACAAACAATAGATCTATATCTCCAATTAACCCTGTTTCTTAGACAAATCCCATGATTCAAACATCTTGTCAAAGACCAAACTTGTAAATTTTCACACAACTTTCTTATGAAAAAGCTAAAATGAAATGAATTTTCCTACAACTGATATTGTAAATTGATTTAAAGCATCAGGTAGAATATTTTTTGGAGAAAGGGTAAAGCCTGAAACTGAAAATGCAACCAAATACAGCATTTTTTATGTCCAAGAATGTGACAGCCTTATAAACAAGTAAACCAAAACAGCATTATGTTATGTTAAATTGTTAAAAATACATTATCTGTGATATTTAAATCTTAAGTTTCTATAAAATATTTATTTGATAAAATAAACCAAAGATAAAAATCAATTCAGTGTACTTTTTGGTATTGGTCTATCAGATTGGCCCAGCTTTTAATGTCCTTGATTTTGGTGAACCTATAGTCATCAGTTTTTGATAGACTCTTGATGCCTGTTTTTAATAAACCCTGTTCTTGGTCAAGCCAACTCATATGTAATGACCCCCTGCTATAGACCCTGGGTCTTGGTGAAGCTATAGTCACCTAGGTTTGACTGGGTTTTGGGTACAGACAGTCAAAAGCTGCTTATCACCCCGTTATTGGTGAACCTAACATTACATTCATTCGATCAATATTCTTGGTCAACCAGACACCTGCTTTCTTTGGCGCTTCTCTTGGTGAACATCCGATTTGCATGTATCCAAGCTCTGGGAGAACCTGCAGATACAGGCTTTTAGAATTCTGCTCTTAGTGGGCATCGAAATGGCCTACATATTTTGGTGGACCTGTACTTATGAATCTACAAAAACTTTTGGGAGGATCTCTTCCCCTTGAAAAACCAGATTTCTATTTTGATATTTTTACTATTATACAACTATATTACATAAAAACAATGTCTGATAATCATTCATAAACAATGGGATCAATTTCTTATAGAGATTTTCTTTCTTAAAATACATGTCTTAAATAATAGAACTTTCACCCTGACTAATATTAACTACATATGCATGTGGCATAGCAGGGCATGGACAGATTTGGCCACAAGTATTGAAGTTGCATTAATAACTACCCAATGTCCATATAGGGTTCTATCTCTAAATGGGCATTTCGTAGTTCTAATATAATAATGAAACTTCAGGTATCTGTGATTTGCCATGAGTGCTAGTAGTAACTCAACAAGGAATTCATTCTTGGACAAACCCTTAACCAATATTTAGACAACTACATCACTTGAAATTTGGTAAAACACTGTAAAAACATGTCATAGAAAAACTTATAACTATTCTAAAGCCTTTAAAGTATGTGGCTTATGCCTCTTAGAACAATAGGAGAAACATGTCGACAGAACAAGAGCCACAATACAGTCAAATTTTAATTTGTTTTCATCATCAGCTTCCACCTCTACATATAGCCTGTAAATAATGTAGCACTGCTGCAATAACACAAAATATACCTCCATTTTAACTATCAAGTAATACATTCCACATTTTTCAGTTTCTCTATCTCAAGTCGTCTGTGTAGATGGTAAATGATAATGAATAAAAATGATTTGTTCAAAAAATATAAAATGTGATAAATTTTCACTCACTATATTGATGGGTTTTGAATTACCTGTAATTTCAATATTCAATAATATTTGAATATAAATTTTAATAATTTTTGTACATATTTAAGTATGAATGAAAATGAATTTTGAAACACAAAAATTAGGACTCTGGAGTCCTTTAAAGATATTACCACACGGAAAACACTGCCAAGTACCATTTTAGTACAATTACTGTACATATCAAAAACATGAATAAAAATTGATTTTCAAACATGAAATGATGTTAGATTATCTAAAATGCACAAAATGTTGCCTATTTAAATAATGATTGATGAAGACTTGATTACCAGGCCCTTTTGCTATATCTGATTAACTACTATGAGCTGAGAGACAGGTTATTCCAGTCTATTTTGATGATGAATAATGTAGACTCCCAAATACTATATTTTCCAATCTTGATTTTATCTTAGTTTTTTGACATTCTGGCACCGCTCTCTAACCCCTGATAGTTAACAGAGATAAGAAACGAATACAGTCGATGAAATAATGTGTTCTGTGTGGTGCAGGATTATCAATACTGTAGAATTAAGAAGAAGCAAAGTGTTTCTTCATCAGACATCCTGTATTCACTTCTTCTAATTTCCACTGTAATGGTCTTCCTGTATCTACAGGTCACCTCTATTCTCCATGACATTCAGGCTGGTACATGACATTCAGGCTGGTACATGACATAATGATCAATGATAAATTAACAAATGATATAGTGAGACACTTTAAAATCTACGAAAACCTCGCCCACGATTTCTCCGACCCCCACGTCCCCCTCGGTAACCACCACGACCTTGACCTTGACCTGAAAAATACATTAACATAGGTCAAGAATTTGTCATTGATAGTGCATCACAGGCATTAGTCATATCATTGACAAGATTGAAAAACAATTTGCCTGAAGGTCACTCTACAACCAATCAGCTGTAATGCATCCATTAATCTACAGAGTTAAAAAAGATGGAAGCTGTTCAGAACCCCCCAATTAAGCACCACCTTCCAGAACAAGCTGCCACAAGTTTCGTTCTTCTAATAACTTGGAATCCTGTGCAGTAGGCCCACATAACCTAATGTTTATTTGATAATTAAGAGGGTGTAAAATTGCTGAAAAGCAATTTCTATGAAAGCACAGGCAGGGTTTGTAAACTCTGCATCCCTTTCAGAGAGTCCACATGGTTTATTTGGTATATTTATTAGCCATGGAAGTTATAATCAGTATTTTAACCATTCTGTCTACCTACCAGTATAATTGCCAGCTTTCTCACTAAACTTTCCACTGGGTGGTGAATACAGCTGTCGTGGGTTTTTATGAGGTTTTTTACCACCGGCACCATTTGATTCAAATGTTATTGGATTAATTCTCTTTTGACTGAAAAATATTAATCATATTGACAACAAATAGGAAAAATTTGCAGGAGAATAGAATGAGTTTGATCATTTTGATTTTCAACTGTTGAGGAAGGTTTGACATTCACAGCCTACAGCATTAGACACATCCATAGACTGTCATGGAAAAAGCGTATAGTCATGCGGATGGGACAACAAACTGAGTCCCTGTGTGCTATACAGACTGTGCACATTAAAGATCCCTTGCAGTCAAAAAGAGAGCACGCTAGTGCAGCTGTCCAGGCACTCATTGCACCCTGCATGGAGTTGCCTGTCTTTTTTAGACCACATGGTGCAGAAATATATACCCCCAACTTAATAATCTATATTCATAACGATATTTTTTCCACCATCCATTATAAAGTCCCTAAGTACTAAAGAAATTATAGAAGACTTACCCTGGTGAAATTGTAGATGAATTGTTGGTATTCTGTGTTGTTGCTGATTTTGGCTGTAAAAAAGACATAACAATTAGTTATTGTAAATTCAAACTGCTGAAAATAAAAGACCACACCCACTTCAGTATGATGATCCAAAACCCAAAATGTCACAAAATGTCAAAATTCTAAAATGCATCATACTCATTGAATTGATATGCATTTATATGCATATTATTATTTTTTTGAAAATAGATCGATAGTGCAGGCAATGTACATTGGCTACAAATCTAGTATCTTCACAATAACAAACTATTACAAACTTTGTCTTATAGCTTGACATTGTGAAGAGGCAAATCTCGGTGCCCAGAAAAATATATAATTTAACAATAAAACTTACAGTGATTGGTTTCCAGGAGACAGTAACAGAGATATTATAGGAGGGTGGATTGTGAAACAAATCTTTAATAATCTGATTAATATTCGATGTTATTTTTAACGCTACAACCTTGATCTTGTTCTGAAATTAGATAAAATAAATACCATTAACAACTAACACATACACGAAATTTTACATCTACAGTTCTACTTATAACTTTTGAGTTTCCGTTTGAACCATGATTATTTGCAGGACAGGGCTCCTTTCCAATCTAGTGGATTCTCCGTACAACTAACTGTTATCACCTGGTAATACTATGGCTAGTATAAGCAAATTGAAGGAACAAAACTGTCCATGAAGTTTTGTAGCAGGCAACTGTGCACAATGTTCTGGATCAAAACCCTTGAGTTCTTGGTGCAAAAAATAGGCTCTCTCTCTGCTGTCTTATACAGCAAATCACTGTGAATATCTCACACATCAATGTTATGTTTTAGAAATGAATTAAAATATAACCATACCTCATCTGATTTTAAACTATCCCCTGTTTTACCCTGTAACGCTGCTCGGAGTTGTTTTATATACACCTGGACACCTCGCGCAAAATACTGTAATCTGAAACCATCACAAATATAGTAAGGTGTGGATATCTTAATACATAGCGAAACTATCGACAAGTGACTTGTTGCATTGAGTCCCCTTAATTTGCTCAAGACTTTACTCATTCAACATTAGCGGCCCTTCTACTGGTCACACAAAAATGTCGGCCCCAGTAAATGATTGTTTAACCACAACACATGTAGCAGCATCAACTGATAATCTACTCAATCAAATAATCTTGTTTTTTTTTTACCACTCGGTCATAATCTCCATACCTTAATCTGAAATCTTTGAGTCTTTCAGCATTTTCTTCATCTGCCAGGAATCCTGGACATTTGGCGCCGAGCTGATGAAATGCAAACATCAGACATTCTACATATGAAAATTCCAGCTTGGGTTGTTCATTTGCTACTGTAGCATCGTTTTCTTCTGATGGTGGTAAGGGCATGTACTCCTGTTAAAAAGATATTTTAATGAACGTTATCAAAATAAGGACAAGCAAAGATAGTTGTACATGTTCTGGTTTGAATCAAATCATAAATACAAGCACCCATTTTATATCAGGATAGAAATAACAATTGAAACTATGCAAAATAGAGTTCATTACTACTTACTCTTCCAAATAAATAGACTACTCATTTTGATGTTTTGAATCTTCAAGAAGTAGCCTGTGAAGTAGGCTCACATAGTAATGCAAAATCTTTAATGGGACATTCTTGTAAATGGCAGAAAATAGTATGCAAGATCTTGGATCACATCCACATATGCACAATTCAGCATAAGGTTGACCAATACATAAAATGGAAGTAGAAAGAACTGACTCACTGGATGTTATGTAAAAGTCTTGAAATGACCGGTTGGAGAGAAAAGTGTAAAATTCTGTCAAGACTTACCAGTAGTCTGTTGTAAAGATTTTCCAGTCTTTTTGAATCAATGTCACCAGCAAATTCTGAGATTTCAGCCAGTATTTTTAATATATCTAGCTGGACGTTCACACCTTCCTCTGGACTAGTAATATCAGATAGGTTTGTTACCACATGATCACATAAATAATCAACAAACGCTTTAGAATGGACATTTTTCTGAAAAAGAGAACATACATATTGAATAAACAAAAAGGCCTTAAATAATTACTATTTCTTTAAACCAAATGAAATTTAATCATGACTGGTTTAGAGATTTAATGTAAAAGTGATACTGAGAAATAAGAGATGAATAACTTGAATGCTATTCCAATTTGCCCTGCATCACTAACAAGACTGACCTGCATCAGGCTCAAACGGTCAGCCTGTATCATGATCAAAGGTAGCCCTAGATAAAATCATACTAGGTGTCCATCATCTATACCTGGTTGCAACCCTAAACCATCAAATTATTGAACAATAACTATTTAACCGATTGTTATTTAGCTTTCAGCATCCAAGCATCATTAAATTTTATGACAGAAATACACCAAGCCAATCCCATTAAATGCAAGACAACTTCCTGAGAACAAATGAGCTGATCGAAACATTGGTCTTACAGACAAACACAGGCTTTTTTGGGACAACCTCACCCTACTATATTTAAAACAGAAGTAACTTACTGAGAATAAGGGAGCAGCTGTTTTAATACATTGTATTAATCTGTCTACACCATCAGGATCACTAACCTACAATAATATCAATATATCAATTACTTAATAAACAGCTGAGAGAGAAGTGGGGGTTTCCAGGTTTAGATTTGTTATAGATCCCATGTGGTTGGAAAGTTTGCAATCTGATAATCCAATGGAGTTAAATTGAGGGCCTATTGGCTGTAGACTGTGTTAGGTCCGGGTTGGTGCCGAGTCGGTTGGTTATTGGGTAGTCAGGAAATTAGCCATAACTGGGTCGTTGGCAGATGTAAAATATGACATAAGAGATATGAAAGACTATGAAATGGAGAACTTAGGCCTAATTTTCAGCTCCTGACAGAAATGAAATGTGAGTTTTTTTAAGTAGAGGACATTTGCAAAACTAGTTCTTCTGATGAAGATTGTTAATTTTCAAAAATAAGGACCTGAGATAAATAAGCAAACTTTGAACCCAGTTCCTCCAGGGTGAAAATCAATATTTCTACTTACATCAAGGGGTTGGTCTAATTCAGCCTGTGAGGCCACGATTTCCACCAAGCTCTGACGACTCTGTACAGTTTTCATAATTCTTAGAGATCGTAATAAATCCATTATCATCATAAACTCTTCCTTCGTTACATCTTCTAGAACCTGGAAATAAAAATGAATGGAGTTTTACGTCCTACTTTTCTGCACCTTGTGGGCTAATGAAGACGGGCAACGCCATGCAGGGTGCCATGAGGGAAACTTTGCCAGGACAGCGGCATTAGCCTCCTAGGTTTCTTTCTCCAATTGCAATGGGATCTTTAACATCCAGTCTGTAGCAAACTGGGCTACAGTTCTTCTACCCATCTGAATGACTGGACGATTCTTCTATGTCAGGTTGACAAAAACCATACACATGCTGGGACAACCCAAATGTAAATATTACCTTTTTAGACATAGTTAAAACATATTCTTCTGCCTCTTTATCCAGAGTTTCCTCCGGTAATGTTTTTAGTTTAGTTGTTAGGAATTTTAACGCTCTATCTCGTACAGAATCATCTTCTTCATGATCTCCTACTATCTGGTCAAATATTCCTTGTAATGTACCTGAAATTACACCAGATATTTTTTTTTGTCAAAAGTGAACATTAACACCAAAATGGAATAAAAATGTTCAATTTTCAAGGCAACTTAATTCAAAATTGATTTGAGTTATTGATCAGATAACATGAATACACAAATCGTAACTTAAGTTTTAGAGAATATAGCCCCTGGTCACTTAAGAGCACAATTACTCTATTACTAAGGAACAAAATCCCTGTTAATCTAAAAATTGATACCGGTAATTTAAAACTTGTTGAGCCTTCAGCAACAGCTCTGTTGAGGTTTCTATATGTTTCAACCATGCAACTTAATCTGAGGCTAAAGGTTAGGGGTTAAGTTTAAAGAAAGCTACCTACCTTTAACATTAATAGCAAAAAGACTAAACAACGAAGACTGAACTATACTGATCTCCCCTTGGTCATCACAAGCTAGAATCTGAGTTAATGCCCCTGATATCTTCGTTACTTGCTCTGGGTTGACTTTACAAACGTTTGGTAAATCTTTGATAGCTTGTTTACGTATCTACAACAGAACAATAAGGTTTGAGATAATTGCACTCGGTATGGAGAAATTATAAACATTACTTTGACCCTGTGCCAGTACCTACTGTTGAATTATAAATTGTTGCTCTTTTTACTTTTAATCACCCTAATCATGTAAGAATTGAATTGAATGTAATGTTTTGCCAGAAATTTTTTTCCTTCTGCTGACCGATTCTTTATTTAGAAGAGTAGCCCCCACCCCTCCTTAAAGTATTTTTAGGATCAAAGTTATGTCTGTGCTAATCGTTAAAAAAAAAAATATATTATCAAATTTCTGAAAAAATATACCAGGTATTATCTTTCAATAATAATATAATTTGGGCTATTTTCAGAATGGATCATCAAGTTACAGTTAGCCTATATTTTAGAAGAAATTATTTATTAAGTTCACTTACATTGACATCAGTATCTTCACACAAATCAAACAGAGCATTGACAGCCTTGGCAGCACATTGAGGGAAATATTTAAAAAACCTAGTGATAAACTGTGAGGCTAGACGTTTCTCTCCTGGACCTCCCTTCACAGCTTCAATAAATGATACATATTCTTCTTCATGCTGCAAAACATCATCAAGTTAATGTAATCCTAGGTCTTGTGCAATTAAAATTAAGAATAAGCTCACAAGTAGGACTGCAACGATTCACCGATGAATCGCAATTCTTTCCTTCTTATCGATGCATTGTGTTGGATAAAAATAATCGTGTCATGTTTTCATTTTCCAAGTATGATTTTCACATCAAAATTTGCAAAATTTATTTCTGACTTTAAAAAGTGAGATTTTTTTTCACAATCCCTCAAGTGCTTAATAGTGACCAACTTCATTAACTGCAATTGTCAATAAATTCCATTTGTGCATCTACTCTACCAATGAAATACCGCACAAAACCTTACAACGTTGTAAAGTGGGCAGTTACTCGCCGATCGAAGTTTTACATGGCAAGAGGTAACATCTCGTTTTCATGTTATTTACTTTATTTACAGAAGCCGGTCGATGAGAGCATGTTTTCATTTCCAAAAAAGCATTATTTGAAAAAGTTCATACCTCGCTAGCTTTCTCTTTTGCATCTGCAAGAACTCCAAAATTCTTGTACAACTCTTCAATAGACACCATTATCGCAAAACTATTTGTTTTTATTCAATTTTCTTAATTTTTTTGTCGTTTTTCACTCGTTAGCGTGTAGGAAGTTGATAGTTTTCGCGCAGAATCACTACCGTTTCCGGTTAGAGACTAATCGACCATTTAAATCAAATTCGACCGGATAAATCAACCCAACAGTAAATTCGACCACGCTAATGATTTTCTGTAACTTTTTTTTATTGATTGAAGATAACATCTTTTGGTCCTTTTTTTTGACTTTGTCAAGGGTGCAGGTAGTGTAATCTGAAAGTTGTTGACCCGTACCTTGTCTTTGATATTTTGAAAATTGTTGTTGATCCACCCAGGGCCATACCCCCAGAATTTATTTTCTTTAATTCAAAATTGCATTTTAAAAGGTGAGCAAAAGAAAACAAGAAAGTAAGGTCGAAAAGGTCGTAGCCTACTCGAAATGAAAAAAAAATTGACTATTTAAAATCAAAATCAAACTTGACTCATTAGATTTTTTTTTAGAAAATGAGGGAGTCTATTTACAACTGTTCATAATAAATTTCAAACATGTAGACTTTAAGGATGATTAAACAGAATCAATAGCCGCATTATTTACATATCCATCAGCCGTGACTCCGGGGGTGACCCCAATATCAGGTCAAGTAGAGAAAACTTAAAAAATATGTTCACGATGAAAGAATAACAATAGATTTGAAGTAAACTAACTAAAATCTCTTTACGGTTGGTGGAAATATCCCAACTGCCCCTGGGTTACTTAAGTGCAAGGTAAGAACTGAATTGCTTTGTCACGTGAGTTCCAATCAAATGAGGGGGATGTCCTTTCGTCTTAGTTTTCTGCAACCCTTTTTGACTATTCTCCCTGGTAATGATATTAAAGTTATAGCATCTAGTTTTCCTATTTCAATTAGGCTAATTCAAATGTACGACCTTGAGAACCCGAGTCCATTGGAGGATTCCAAACTTTATTCAATGAGTTTTCTAAAAATTCTCTGTCCGTTGTGATCTGTCGTCATCGGCATAATATGTAGCAGAACAGTGTATCAACTGGGACATGCGACATTTTACACTGTCCCTACGGAAATGTTGTTCAGGGCGCTGTGTGAGTCAGACCCGAATTGATCACAGATTAAATACAGTTCATAGTTGACTCCTGGTCGAACTCCGTACTCTCATAGAGTGTCTGAGAGGATTCTCCCAAGAAATTATTCGAAAAATTGAATTGATTTGGTGCATTCTGACAAATATTTTTGGGGGAAACGTAATTCGTTAAAGATATTGGGGGTGCAAACCATTTTTCTAGGGTGACGCATGGCGCTCCACTGTCCGTACCCCGTCTCTTCGCGTCTTTAACATGTAGGCTACTTGTTGATGTGAAAATATCTCACTGTGAGTCTCTAGCGACCTGTATCTAGTTCCTAGTTCCATGTTCTCTACTTATTCTAAAGGGATACCCAGTCATCTGAATCAATCCGAAGCCGGACTGCAGGCCAATATTTAAAGGGACCGATGCTCCATGTTTTGCCCGATCGTATCTTAGTCACAGAAACTAGACTTTTTTTTAGCTAAGCTTATCAGTAATAGTATTCACAGCTTACCATCGAAATTTGAGCCTTCAAATCCATGTGTGTCCAGAATTATCCGCGTTTAAAGGTTAAAAAGACGACTCGTCATTCTAAAATACTCTGTGGTCGACATATAAAGAAATAGTGAGTAAAATTCCTATTTTGAAGTATTTTAAAGGAATTATGCGATTTCCGTACATTTCTTATACTTTTGAAGACTATTTACTCCTCGCTCCTATATGTCGTTCAAATCTTAAATTTACATCAAATCAACCCCCGAAAAATGGCAAACCTGTCCCTTTAATCTATCCCACCAAAAAGCTGGACCAGTAACAGTTCTGGGGTTCAGAGTAAATCTCACCATAAGCAATTATCTGCGTCCATAAAGCTATTTAGTAAGTTGTGTTTGAGACAACTTTATGTGACGTGAATGTCCCAAAAGCCAGCAATAATAACCCAGGGCGCCCTGTCTTTATTCCAATGATACCGTAACAATAGTTATAGTAAATAGTAACGTGTGCAGAATGAGAAGATTACTCTGAGTTTGAATATGACGGACTAGTGAACGACAGGTGAGAGAATATACCTGTGTTTTGCCTGTCCACTTTACCTGTCTCAAAAACACAAATACCTCGCTGAATTTTAATATCTTATACCGTGGATTTATTTTAGCTTGAATAGGTAAGAAAATTTGATATTTTTTCATCATCTATAAAATATGTTTGTGAATTTATTAGATTTAGAATACACGATGGTTGAGTAGAAGACCGGTTTGTACAAAGTGGTTATAAAACAGCGTTGAATATTCATGATGTTGTATAGGGTCACAGATGGTGAGACCTGTCACCAGTGGCGGAGCCAGGTTTACGTCCGAGGGTGGGCTAAATATCTGAGGGTGCCCGAATTTCTAACCTAGTTATGAGAGTCATGCCCGGAAGACTTGCATTCGGGACTGTGAGGGGGGGGGGGGCTGCCCTGCTGCACCTTCTGCACCCCCTTTGACTACCCGTCACATTCTATTTCATTCTATAACAGAGTTTTTAACCTGGGGGTAACCTACGATGGTGGATTCGAACCCACTGCAACCATTCCCAAGCAACATAGAGGCCCAAATTTGTACTGGATAGTAATAATTTCTATGTGAAGTGCTGCCCAAAAACTTTGACCCCTTTTATTTTGAGAGGTGGTGTGGGGGAGGGGAGAAATCGTCAATGGTCGCCGAGTTTTACCGATTGCTTTCATGAACCGGGTGTAATTTTTTTTAACAGCCCTCACGTGTAAACAAACTCACGTGTAACATATCAGAAGTTTTGATCGTATCTTATGTCAGTCAGATTTTGCTTCAAAATGCCCAAAGCTAATAAGACAGTTACTGAAAATCCACATAGCTTCATTGCATATCTAAGGGAGCTAGGCGACTCCCCATCCCCGGACACCTTCCCTTCCTACCACTGATCATATACGGGTATTGGCATGGAGTTTCTATTTGTCAGCATTCTGCTGTGTGGGCATATGTTATCATGTCTGTCATGTTAGTTTAATCAAAACAGAGTAAAGTATGTAAAAATTGTACAAATAATAATGTCAATGAGAGAAAAAAATATACCAATATGTAGAGAAATGAAATGTAGGTGAAACAGATGTTTTCTATCCAACTTGTCGTTAAAAACATGGAAATATTTTAACTGTTAGTCTTGGAATTCTCGATTTGGGTTAAATGTTACCTTATTTTGGTATATTTATTTTAAATTAACAGTACATGTATTATACAAGTAGACCTCCCAGCCTAGACCCACCCCCAGCGGCCAACCACAGCCCCATAGTCTTAATCTGTTAATTTGAAAATATATTTGATCAGAATAAAAATCTAGAATGATATCTATAGTTCTTAAAACTTGGGGTAGTTCTACAAGACTTGTAAAACTTCGTGGGTCTTAAAATAAATGTATCTATGAACATTACCAAGAGATAGTATGATACCCTGGTGATTACGAAATTATACTGTTGTGGATGGTAAAGGCTTTAGAGAGATAATCCTATTGTACATTTTCAGTAGAACTATATGATGAAAAAAATCTAGCATGCACAGTGGTTACAACTTCGGGGTTCCAAATCTAGCAATATCAGGAGCCTGGTTATATTGTTGATAGGTGATCGACAACGATATGGCTTGCACCACCGTACCTTCAGTCTTTTAAACCTTACCGGAATTTACAATGTAGCATAAAACTCACGACCAGAATGATCAATGCCCTCATTAAAATCCAGCATGCAGAGTGCTCAGGTCATTGACATTGTTAGAGATCATTTGACTAAATAGCTTGAACTACCTTCCGAATATCTAGAGCGGACCTCAATCATCAGTAGAACAGGGGGTGTAAAACTCCATTGCGACTACACGATGTATCCAATCCCATAGAGTTATAAATATTAACATTAAAATATAAAGTTTTTATATACATCTATGACTAAATCCATATACATTGTACACGTGCATTCTGTATCTTCAGAGCGTCAGGGGAACTTTCACGGTACACCATTTGGTATCAGTGTATTTGTGTTGACAAACCTAGATACAGATGTATTTTGATGCACCCAGGATTTTGTTTACATTTGACATATTTACATGCAGGTCTTAATTAAACTGGTGACGTCATATATTCATTAAAGATGCTAACTATGTAATATAAATGTTAGGTTTTATGAAAATAAGGGCAATGTCTAAAATATTTCATCTTCACAAGACAAGATCCAAGGCCTTGAAATTACTGAAGATTGGCAAAGTAATTACGTGTTAGGGTCAGGCCTATAGGTCATGAAGTAAAAAATCAAAGGATGAGATAGTTGATATTTAGTATTGGGTGTTATAGAAGATACTCTTCTATAGAAGCACTGGCCAAGGTCACAAGAAGAGAACATACTTTTGTCAACAATATAGTTAAAAATGGTTATGATTAGGATTATGAAAGTATGAAATCTTTTCCTCAAATGTAGAGTACAATGGGGGCCATTTTGTCAGGGCAGTTGCATTCGCCCACTCCTTAAGTTTTTTAACCTGCTATACGAAAAGTGAAAATAAAAAAATAAATGAAGTCATATGTTATAAAACTAGGCCATTGTTCAGAAAATTTCAAAAATGGTAATAAAAGAACCTAACAACAGTCTAGGTTTATTATTGTTAGTTCAACCGAAACGTTACGGATCGTTAAATCTTGGTACTGTTTAGTATATCAGTTTATGGGTGAGAATTCTTGCGTCAATATTTTGGATAAAAATGATATAATTAATAATATTTTGAGACTGAAAATTAAACACAATTGTTAAGATAAATTAAATTTGAAAGGTACTAATTATAATCACAGAAAATCACTAATTAGATGCGCTAGTTGAGCTACAGGAAATCCGCACCCAACCAAGCTTTCAAATTGTATAAGCAAGGAAACATTGTTATTATGAATAACTGTTTTATCTAACGAGGCTGACTACTTGAAACTGGACTGATTTTACTAGTATGAAAT